GGGGGGGGGGGGGGATAGGATTAGAGAAAAGGCGAGAGGAGAATAAATAAATACGAGCCGGAGCGAGCACAAGAGAAGCTAACATTATTTCCCACGGAATCCCAAGAAGGAATTTTAATGGAAGGGCCGAAGAAGAAAGAAACGAGACGTTGCACGTTCTTCGAAATGAAATTTGCAGCTCCATCCTGTAGCTTCCATGGACCATCGAGCGAGTGCCCTCGTGTGCTAAATTCCACTCGAAAGACGCGCGATTTTTAGATGGTCCTCGCAGAAGCGTGCTCAGAAAATCCCAATGAGGGTGTGTTATGACCCTCAAACCCCCCTACCTTGGGCATGTCACTGGGTCCTCTTGCAAATTACATTGCTAGAGGTTATAATAATAGCAAAATTAGTGTCAAAATTGATGTTTCTTTGTGAAAGTTTCTTCGCATTGCTTCCATTTAATCTGGAATCAACCGTACAACATTCATCCGCAGTCTTTTAGAATTTTCTCATAATTTACTCTCAAAGTGAATGAAGAGTTTGCACTCAATAAATTTTATCGATTGGACTCGGCGTAAAAAGGCATTGACCGACCGGCATTTTGCCTCCAGGCCACGGCTTCTCTCCATCTCCGAATTGATCTTCTTTTCCAGCTTCGCCATGTAGTCACGCAGCTTCCTTATTTTCTCCTTATTCTCCTTCTGGAATTTGGGGTTTTTCGTGAGACACCTTTCATTAGAACGTCTATGCGGAGGAAAAATGGATCCGGAAATGAAGAGGGAGGAAACAGAGGGGGCTCTTCATCTCCGGCCATCATGAATTATGAGGATGTTTTCTGTCGAGTGAGAGAGGCACTTAGTCTTATCTTCTCTCTGCCCCCTGGCCCCCTCCAGCCCCCCTTTTAGCCCCACCCCTGCCCTGATGGATGCGTAGAAAACTCGCCTCGAGCCGAAACAGGGTCGTCTGGAGTCCGTGCTTGGCCACCTCGAGGTCACGGATCTGCACGGACTGGGCCACCGCTCGATTCCTCAGCACCGTCACCGCCTTCACCACCTCCAACGGACTCGTGAAGTACAATTCTATCGAACGAGTAAAAAAAATCACGGATTCCGTCGAAAGGGACTAGGGAAAAAATTCTTTCGGCTCACCGAATTCGTCGGACCAATCTTTGAGGATCTGCAGGTCATGGGACACGCATAGTCGGCCGGACGGTGGTACTGGATCGCTCCTGCCTTTTTCTTCTAGCTTTCCGCCTTTTTCTGCATGTTTCCCCCCTTTTCCTTCTGTTTTCATTTCTTTCTCTTCTCTGCAAACACACAGACCGTTTGGCACTAGAAATTTCCTGAAAACATCCGAAAAACTCAACCAACTCCGACTTTTCGCATAAAACCATTCAACGGCCCTGCTAATGCCATATTGCGTGTATTGCACTTTCGTCTTCCGATTACCAAGGCAGTTTCTCACATTTACTCCACTTCAATGCATTCACTTTTAATGATCATTGTTAAGACGATCCCTCTTTTAAAATGCTAGGAATAGGAAAGTCCACCATTTGGCATTTTTCTCGGGTCACTAATCATTCGCCGAAAGCAGAAAAAAATTAGGTGTGCAGTAGGACTTGACAAGGAAGGAGATGGATTTAGCAGGAAGAAATGGTTCCAATTGTCACTGGTATTTCGGTCATGGTCGAAGTTTCAAGGGGACCAAAAGGAGTCTTCAAAAATCGATTTGTGCTCTTGATTGATGGCGGCGAAGGTACCCATTCGCAGTGCTTCCGTTGGTACTCAACGTCTGCACATGGAGCAGGTCGAGCAACGAAATATACCACAATCTACAGAATTTCTACTTCGGCTCAAAACCTTAGGCATGAGGCCGGGCCTATTGCGAGCACCGTTTACCGACTCGGAAATTTTCTCCTCCGCAGATTGAAGGATGCGAAACGCACAACGACCGAGTCAACGCGTCTGGGAAAAAGAAATTAAACGCCAAGCCCATCATCAGACAAAAAGGCGAAAGTGAAGCCAAACCAACAGCTGCAAATGTACGTCGATTATCATCAGTGGGCACCAAAAACAAACCCGGAGCTTTCTTCACTTTTTCCTGTGGGGTTCGTCGCTCTGAAGACGAATCGTTACTTGCTAGCATGGCGCATTCTATTTTGACGTTTTTCCCTTCGTGAAGACGGAGAAATGCTAATGGAAGCATGGTTTCGAAGGAAGCTGTGGTTCGGAAATAAACTGTCGCAGATAAGCTTCCCATGACATATTGATGTGCAAGGACAGGAGTCTGTTGAATGGCGGAGTTCCCCACTAAATCTATGTTTAAAATGCCCACCAGTTCTCTCTCCAATCATCGACAACAGGATTCCAGGTGAAACTGTACGGGTGCACGAAAAGCCATCCGACCGACGAAATGAAAAAAAGGCTTGCCTTCCATTATCGCGTTCGAAAACCGCCCCAGCGCGAGATTTTCATCGCGAGAAAAATTAACCCCGGAGTTCCATCCTTACGGGAGGAGGCCGTGCCTTCGGAGGAGCTCCTTCCTCCACTCCGTGGGGGCGAGGGAGAAGAGGAACTGTCGGTGGAGGAGCCGCCTGGAGACCTCAGCCTCGGTCGACTCTTTCCTCTTCACGGTTTCGCCGAGGCGGCGGTGCAGAGCGAGGATTTCCGATCCCAGGGCGCCTTTGCCCTTCAGGACTGAGGCGAGTCTGAAAAGGGAATCGTGGAATTATCGGGGGACTAGGAGAAAAGACGCGGAACTCAATTGCGACTAGCGTCTGATTTCGTGATCTGCTGTGCGACGGGAAACTCGCACGTGGCGTGATCGTGCGCGACATCTGCAGGAAAGAATCAGTCAAGAAGAATCGGAATTTCGATTTACCCGTGCCAGGTGTCATTAGCAGTCTCAGACAGAGTCGCTCCAATCACCACAAATTTTCGTTAAATGCTTTCGATACTTAATACATTTCATATTCCGGAAATGATCGTTGGAAGTGCTGATCATGAGCGAGGAGCCGAAAGACTGCCGAGAGGGGAGAACTGACGTTTCGCAGTACAATTATTTTCATGCGATTTCGTCCTCCTGTAATATGGTCTCATAATATAATCTAATAATATATAATATAATATAATATAATCTCATTTCCATGCGTCCTAATGTCATTTCAATCGTGAGAGATATGAGAGATATAATACCCCCATCTCCATTGATGAACCATATGAATAGAATTGCGCGTTGTAACTGGTGGCACGTATTCATTTGCTTATCGATGCCTTCTCCCTATATAGATATAATATATAGACTATAAGAATTGTGGATCTTAGCTTCGGAAGGGAATTTCGTGATTGGGTGGGCGAGACCGTTTCGACTCGGTCCGGAATGGAAGTTCTTGAATGACGCCTTTCGTTCTTCGTGTCCTGCGAGAGGGTGGGGAATGGGGAGCGGAAGTCATCGGGGAGGGCGTATTCGAAACGCGAGGTTCGTGGCGACGAGCGAGAGAATTGAGCGTATTCGATCGGGGAAGTTCGCGCAGCATCGAAATCGAGGAAAGAAGAAGAAAAAGGGATAAACGGACTTCTCGGCGGCTTCCGTGTTCCGCGACTGGAGGCGGTCGAGCGATTCCTGGAATTCCTTCTCCAGCGCCTCCACCTCCAGGAATTCCCGGTCGAGCGACTCCTTCTCCCCGAGCCGAATTTCGCGGAGCCGCTGCTTGGCCTCCGACTCAAGCTTCTTCACGTACTACATAGCGGTAAATAAGTATGAGATTAAGTTCGTTTGTTTTTTAGGGTGAGGGTGACGGAGGGGAACCTGGAGTCGGGCTTCGTTCTTCCGGTCCTCGAATTTCCGTGAAGCGGCTGGCCGTTTCTCTCGAAATCTTCTCTCTGGCTGTGCCGGCGGTTTCTTCCGGTCTGGGGGCTTCGCCGCGACTCTTCCTGGAGACAGGCAAGGGTTCTGGGGGGGGGGGGCGTTATGTGTCCTTACGTTTCGTCTCTCTGTTGGACGTAGAAAGGAATTTGAAAGACCTGGTATTGAGTTCTGATGGCGGTTAAGAGCTGGGAGGGATCCAGTTGGAAGGGATTCCCCATCGCCACGATTGCTTGTTCGAAGGGATTTCCCATCGCTTTGCCCATCCAGAGTTTATTGTTTTCTTTTCTGGGGAATTGGAGAACGGTGGATGCACTCGGGAGAGAGAGGCTCGGTTTTAGCGGCACGGGTCTCACGCCTCTGACGGTGTCGGGCTGGGGGTTTGGTCGATGGGCGGGTGGGGGGGGGGGAGTCAGTGATGCGCGATTCCCGAGACGAGTTCCAGAATCCGCTCGTGGTTTCACGCTGGGATTTTTGCAGGGCGTTCGTGAAGTTTCAGCAAAAGATGGAGAAAATTTGCAAAATTTTTAAGGGACTGGCTACTTGGAGTGCACATTCCCGAAACTTCAAAGAAAATTGTGCAGTAGATTCTCAAATTCACATTTAGTGGGGCAATGGTAATTAATTCCCCCACTCGCCTCTAGAACCGCAAATGTCTGACATTAATGATAAAAAAGTGCTAAGTCACTCGCCTGCGTTTTTACGCTTCCCCATGATACACAAAAAAATAAAAATTTGACAAGGGAATATTTCTTCTTCGTTGGAAACCATTTCTTGTCCTTGTCCCCTTCCTTGGATTTATGCATTTGAGTGCCCATTGCAGCTGACTTGAGTCTGAATAGGGGTTCGAGCGATCTCGAGTAGACGTCACATCCCAGAGAAATGCGCAGTCTTCCATGCTCAAGCATGAATATGGTCCCTGGCCATCACACGGAACGGCATGAGGAAGAGGAATCGTTATCCGTCATTGGGCATCCCTGCTCCGAGTGGAAGAGGTTCAACCTCATTGCTCCGTGGATGTTTTAGGCACTATCTTGGATCGGTCGCATCCAGCAAGCAGGGGATTCAGCAAACCAACCCACAGGGTCGGTCAAATATGTGACGGCTGCGAGTTCGGCCTCATTCATTTCTGATTGTTGTCACGGCATTACAACTGGGGTCTCAAGTGAGCAGAAGGTATTCAAACGTGACATCGCCATAAATACTACTGACATGGTGGAGTTACGTATGATGTCCAAATTTTTTTACCTAACGTGAGCCTAAGTGGGCATATTTTCCAGCCAATCTCCTGTGTCTAAATTCTCCATAAATCAGATAATGACATGTGATCATTTCAGCATCCCCAAGAAAGGAAGATCAAGAGACACCCTGGCCTCGTAGGAAACGAAACTCTTGTTGCAATTCCAAAACGAGAATCATCAGATTCACTGCATGCAGACAGATGAGGACACAATTGCAAGGAAGGAAAGCAACACAGGCAAGAACGCTGCTGATGGCTACCACGCATCCCCACTGATGCCCTTCCTCGACCGTGGGCATCCATCAGTCCTTGAGGACGGTCACGTCCTCGGACATGAGGAACTCCAGCGTCTCCACGTCCATGTTGGTCTCCTCGGCCTGGACCGTATCCGTGTCCACGTCTGCGGATGAGAATTTCTTTTCATTCTTCTGCATTTTCACTTAGTGAAACTTCGTTTTTGTTTTTGTATTTGTATTACATTACTCAAACTATTCTCCCACATTTCCAATGTACATCTAGCATCCTTCCAACTTTCTATGTTAACAATTCTCCATTATCACTTTTAATGGCAAATGAGCAACATCTGACCTATTAATTTTACTATAATGGACAACTCAACCTATTGGTGGAATTACCTAAACTCAAATTCATGCTGGAGATCCAGCATGAATTCGAAAGCCAGTGAATGATTCAATATTGTTACTTACTGTCTCGCAGTTGCAGTCTTTGCAATCGCTGCTCTATGAATTCCTCCTCCTTCCTCTCTCGGTAGTCCTTGAATTCCTTCAGCAGTTTCCTTCTCTTATCCAGGAGAACCTACAAGGGTAAGTCCACCACAGACTCAAATGAATTCTTTGACAAAGGAAAAGCTACAAAAGCAGATTTTCTACTCTCCATCCACAGACCTTTGATTCAACAGATGACTTGATGGAGTCTTCATGATCGAACTTTTTGCTATACTTCTTTAGGTTCTTCTTGACCTCCTTGATCTGCTTGGTGTCGAGGAGACTCGGAGGGCGGGGTCTCCACAGCAACTGACAGAACTTCTCGGGTGTGTGTTTCTGGAGGATTTTCCCTTGGAACGTCCACAGCCAATATGCATTGTCGACCTGTGATATTGATAGGCATTTAGGCATTTGAGCATCCACATGCACACACGATGAGTCGCATTCTCTGCAATTAAAACAGCTCCAGGAATAGCATATTTTCTATAACTTTTCTCCATGAAACTTTACCAGGATTGCTTTAGGACCCCTGTTTTCTGTCATGTGCTCACAGATTGGCATTTAGAAAATAACCTATTATAAAAATATCTCCCATATATGTGATCCCAAGAAGTCTTATGAAAATTAGAAAGTGTTCTGTGTATTTCTTTTGCCTATATGGCACATATTTCAATGAACACAAAACCATGTAGCATGTCTTACTCTTATGGTGATATGAACTTCAGGTAGAATAAGCACATTGCAGGATGTCAATAGGCAACATTTGGTAGCAATCACACCCAATAATAACAATAATAATAATACATTTTCTGGACCAATCTGTGTCTTGGTGAGGCTACTCTACAGCTGCATACCCTGATAAAAAAAATAATAAGCAGGAGACTCATACCTTGGTGGTCCACCATCCCAGGGCAGTTGCGACATATCTTCCTGTGGGGTCCCATTCCACATCTGTAGCCATGTAATGATCAGAAGAATTGAGGATGGAGAAATCACTGGTGTCCACAAACTCTAAGTCTCCCTTCATCCCACGCAAGCCAGCCAAAACAATGAATTGTCCTGCTGGACTCCAGAAAAGTTGGTTGCACTGCTTCCTTTCAAACTTTTCTGCAATGGAAAAATTTCCTATATAAAGGATGGAATAGACCATCACAGAACTAGAACCATATTCAAAGGCAAACTCTTTTCAAGATGGTCTTATCATGAAAGTCATGAAAACAAGAGTTCATTAATAAATTTACAGGGACAAAGTGCTTTTATTAATTTTTTGCTTCTTTCTGCCATCTCACAAACCCCAACCTATTTGCAATTTAGGGTGAACTTCTTTTCTCAAAAGAATAAATGAAACTTACATTTGCTGAATTTTTTCCATTCAAAAATTAATGTGGTATACTTCACATCTGGTAAGAATAAAAATCTTATGAACCATATCTATCAACTCTCACGAAGGGGAAGAGTGTGAATTGGGAGATAGCACCACAAGGCACATATAGCTCATCTTCACCTTCACCACCACTATCCCACATATTCTATTTTGAGGCATTCTTGCCCCCTCTCCTATTTCACACCTTATACCATGTCTTCTGTATCATCCATGGCAGCATAATCAAAAAGAGGCCCATTACAGGGCCAGGCTTTGCCTGACTTGTCAACAGGCATCTCTGGTATAGGACTTCTTTTGCATTCCATCACAGATGCAACAATTTACTGTACATGAAAAACCACAACAAATAAAAATACATAAATTGTTGTAAAATATGACAAATATCCATAATCTCATTGATAGAATGAATATTCAGAAGATGAAGTTTTAAAAATTCAGAAAATTCCTTGGGAAGAGCAACTGAGAGGAAACATACTGAGAAGGATTGGGGTCTGCCCAGTCTTGACACTATAGAATGAAACATTGATGGATGGAGCTTCTCCATGGACGACAGCAAACTTGTTTCCAACGGGTTCCCAGGCGAAGGCTTGTATCTGCTCCTTGATCTCAACACTGTCAACAGGAATCTGCTTCTCTCGCATGTGGAAGACCTCAAAGTTATAGTACATACCCTGATGTGAAGAAAGAATGAGCAGATAAGTATGAATCAAAAGCAAATGACAGGAAAAAATACAAAAACTCCTGGCACACTCACACTGTATTTGATTTCATCCTTGTCCTTCTTGACCTTTGAGTAACGATCGACCTTCACACACAGGTAATCACCACTCTTCTGCCAGTGCATTTTGCAGTCGGCCACATTGAACAAGTTCTTCACACGAATCTCATTCCGGCTGCAAGAAATGAAATACCATGAAGATAATGAAATGAGTTAAAAAGCAACAACTGTCACTTTATACAGAAAAGACCTAAAATCTTCTCCATTCATAAGAACAAGGTTTTGTGGTAAATAACTTCAGCAACTAGCCTGCAGAGGAATGTGCAGTTTCAATGAGAACTAACACCTAACATTTACATGCAAAAATTATTTCTGGGAGTGGAACAGAAGTTAAGACTTTGCATGAAGCAGTTGAAAAGTTCTAATCCAATGATAATGAATTGTACCTCGGAATTTCGAGAAGGGTCACTCGAGCTGGGATGTCCTTCTCCTCTGCCATCCAATAAGCAATGATGTTGTCAGTAGGAGACCAAGAAAAGTCCTTGATGCCTGGCAGCTTCAAACTCTTCTTGTCAAGCAAACCAAAAGACTAGAACAAGGAATGAAAATTTGCAAAAATAAGTCAAAAGCAGACATCAAAATAACTGAAAGGAAGGGGTGGCTTACAGGAGTCTCATAGACACTGAGCATATCCTGACTGCATCTGGCAAAGTATTGGTCATCGTGGGACCACCTGAGGATGGGCCAGATTCCGGCATGAAAGGATCGCTTGCGCTGGCCCGTCAGGACGTCCCAGATGATCACAGCTTGAGGCTCCCCTGGGTCTCCCAACATCTGCTTCGTGGCTGCATGTGGGCTGAATGTCACCAAGTACCTGCAATGCATCTTTGTATTATGGGATGTGTAAAGGGATACAGGCACTATACTTTGCACTTACTAATTTTTATGGTCAACCATTGGCTGCTTCCCATTCAGCATATTAAAATGAAAATTGGATTGTTAGGACATAGAACCTTAATTGCCTGCTTCAGAAGGAAGCAAAAAGAACCCCACTAAGAGAATGGAAGTGAACCTATTCAGGCATAACCATCTAGGCCAGTTTTTTTTTTCGAACCTAAATCACATTTTTCCAGTTATGAATAATATCATGCACTTAGACATATGGAACAAGGCCATATATAGAGTTTCTGGCTTCCCTTCTTTATCGGTAATTAGGTAGAATTACATATTGCATAGGCTCTGCAAGATTACACTTTTCATTGTTGAAATAAGCTCAAATTGGAATCATTCCCAGCTTCCCATAAAATCAGTGGGAAAGAAAATATCCTTTTATTTCACCAGCATCTAACTCTGAAAGACAGTGGTGACTTATGGTCCTTCCTCCATTTAGTTCAAACTGGTTGAGTCAAAAAAAAAAAAAGAAAAGCACACTGCTCTTTGAGTTTCTCTGGAGTTCATGAGATAGCAGATATACACTTTAGAGAAACTTAGTAGCATTAGCTGCTGTTTTAGTGGCACCACAGAATTTCAAAGAGCAGAGTGCTTTTTTTGGCTCACCCAGTAATAGTGACAAAAAGTCTGTCATCATATTATTTACCCTCATCCCACAACAAAGTTTAACAAATGAACCAAACTACACTGGCTTAGGTCTGCAGAGCCTCATGAGGTAATTATTGTGTCTTTCCTTTGTCCTATTTATTATATTGATCCCACTCAACACAATCATACTATCACCACAAGGATTCAACTGCTTTGGGTCAACCCAACAGAACATTTTCCATGATAATTTAAGCCTCATGAAACTTGAAGTAAAGTTTTCTCGAGTGTTAGCTCTCTGGAAATAAAAGCTTAGATCAATTAATCAAATAAGAGATCCTAAAGCAACTCACTTTTCCTGAGGTGAGAAATCAATGAACTGAACACCAGGATGAGAGAACTTCATGATTTGCTGGAAACCCTCTCCACCCCAAAGGGCAACTCCTCGTTGATGGAATGTTGCCAGATATGTACCCAGTGGAGACCACCGAACGTACGTCTCTGTCCAACGCTGTGGGGAAGACATCACAAAGTATAACCATTGAACATGACTGATAAAATATAAATTGTCTTTGAATTAATTTTTTTTATGAGAGACACACATACAGACACACAAGAATGTAGGCCTAATGCCTTCTTTCTTGTTCAAGCTACTTACAGCTCTCTGCTCAATGAGGGATGGCTCAGGGAAGGAGTTGAGATATATTGCAGTCTTCTCCCCTCCTTCATATATAACACTGTACTGATCATAGCAATCTGGGTTAGTTAGCCAGCTTCTGAGGTCGCCATGGTCCTTGAAGGGCTGTGGTTCAGGTGGGATCCAGTCTTCTGGAATACTAGCATACCTTCAGGGAGATTCAAGATAACCTTACTCAGTAATGAAGTGGGAAAACTCAGCAAGAACAGGAATTTTATATAAGAATTGGAAGATAAATGTTATTTTCTTTCCACTCACTTTTCAAAGTCAGTGAACACATTTACGCAGAAAGTGTGCGCCTTGTCGAGTTTGTAACCGTTGGTAGTTTTCACAGCATTTGCAGCATTGACTGGGCTGCTATACTCCAAGAACATGTACCTGTGAAGAAGGAAACAGTATGGATCTAAAACAGAACCACCCATTACCTTTACCAGAGTAATGTAGGATAAAAGGCCTATGCTTTGAATAAGAGGTAATTTACTTACGTAATGGGGCAACTATAGGAGTTTTTAAGGAATAAAGGAAAAAAAGTGTAGAGCTAAATTCACAAATAACACAAAACTCAATTCAACAAACATACCCTAAGTCTTTAATGACCTTCTACAGACCCTCTTATCCCCCCAAGATCCTTTGGAAAATGAAAAGAAATCTTATGCCTACCCTTTGGTGAAACCATCTTCAGAAGTAGGATAGTGCTCAGTGACGAGCTTCCCGAAACTGGAGAATATTTTGCGGATCACAGACTGCAGCTTCTCGAGCCTCTCTGGTCCAACCTTGGGAATGCCATCAACAACAATGATGGAGTCGATGCCACCCGATTCCTTGGGTTTCTTATCCAATAGCTCTCCAAGAAGCTCTGCAACAGGTCCAGGCAAAACAAATATAAAAATGAAAAAACGTACTGCCAAGTCATGTTTCGAGTTACATTCCAATGGTTAGGCTAGGCAAGAACCAGAAGTATACACAGGCATAGGCCTGTGGCATCAGCCCAACAATGCAACCAGGCCTCTAGTATATACTCACAGGTATTGACAAGGGTGTCAAGCAAAATACCCACTCAAAATAATGTAAATAACTCATGAAGTAGGAGAGAACAGTGAAAAGAAACCCAGTGACTCATGACCTCTAGCTCCACTGTGTCAAAACAATCTCATGCAGCAGTGATATGCAAAAGCAGTCACAAAGCCCTTGCTAACAGCCTCATCCCTTACCATAGCGCATTTCTACTTGCATCATGTGTAGCCAGTCTTATGCAAATGAAAATGAATGGATCCCCTCCATCCAAATAAGATCCAGAAAATTGTGTTAGATCCTGATATCCTAATATGAAGGAAATGCAAGAATTATTTGATAATGCTGATGATTGCATAGCGTTTAATGTAGAGAATGTATATCATATTATGGTATATTGTAGAAGATTTTTCAAGACTTTGCATAACTATACGTGTCCAAAGTCACAATAGGGTCCATGTCCATTCAAATTATAATGGCCCCAAGTTGCAGAATTTTCACCCAAGAGTTGAAACTGAAGATTGTAACCCCCAACAAACAAAATCTTTACTCAGGTATACACTGATAAATGTATACCCTGAGTATACTTGGGGGACAAACCCAGGACGAGTGGAGCGCAGAGAGAGTGGCAGCAAGATGGCTATGGCACAAAATGCAGAGTATCTCCACTTCTGAAATTACCACAACATAATTGATGAGGCATGACCTTTTACATTAGGCATAGTTATGGGGCTGCAGGAATAGGCAGAGGCTTCATCCTCCATTACAGAGCAAAAACAATCAAGCCAAGCATAGTTTAAATACTAATGATGAAACTACCACACATGGAGCTGGCACTAAGTGGCTCATTTTACCATTTCCATACAGTAAGTTGGCCTAAAACTTAGATCCCTTATCACACCACTCAAGGGTGTGGTTTATTGTAACTGGCATTTGCAAACATCACTTTGTCAAAATAATGTCAGATTATGCAAATCACCTCAAGTGTTTAAAAATAAAGTTCTAAAGCAATATAAAGATCTCTCCCTTCCAAACCAGACCTTCACTATATCTGGGTCTAGGCCATGCAGGTCATTCTACTCCTATGGACGGATCTTCATACATTTAACCTCCATATTTCATAGGCCAAACTACACCTAGCAGCAATTTTATATTATAAAGCTTGCTTTCCCTCTCAGTTTAGTTTAATTGCAATTTCAGCACTCGGAAATTATTTACATGAACTGAAAATGAACTGATTTCTGACCAAGGAGTCCCTTTAACCAGAGTAGATAAGTAATCTAATATTGGAATATTAAATGTCAACATTTGGTAAACCTCTTCATCTATACCTTAGTTGACAAGGCTAATAGGTATAAGGCAATCCCTGCGGCTTGGAATTTAGGCACATCTTAACGTTAGGCCCACCTTCGATTGGGCAAAGCCCAAAGACCTAAAGTTTCCTGGCTGACTTGGTTTTCTGTATGGTCTACTCAGATACGGCATAAGTTTGTAATTCTAACCTTCTTCTGAGATATTATCAACGTAGCCTTCTGGATCGCTGAAATCTGGCTCGCCGGCAGGTTCTCCATTGGCGTCAGGAGCCGAGTCTTGGTTTTCCTGATTCTTCTCTTCTTTCCTCTTCGCCATCGAAACAAGCAATAGACACTCTATTCAGTCCTTAACAGGGTCCAGGCCAGCTCAGCGTGAAAGGCAGCCCTGGCTTGCACGCAATAATTGACCGTAGGCTATGCCGAGTGACACGTTCGCCATGTGATTCCGAATGGTGGCCGTCTGAAACGCTCGCGCTGACATCTGGCATACCGCACCGAAAACAGGAAGTTCTGAGGAGTCCCTGAAGGTGATCGTCGCATCGCGCCGCGGATAGCCCTCGCCCAGTGTCCCAGCCGTCCCTCAGTGCTCCACGCCTGAAGCACCACCGTAAGTAAGTGCGACTTCATTTTGACTGAAGAACCTGCAAACCAAGCAACTTCTAGTGCTGAAAGTCTCTGGATTTTAGCTGTCTTGCAAAAACGCTCGATGTAACGCCACTGGTCGTTGATTTTGGCGCTGTGTCGAATGAATTTTGTTAGTTGCGGTACCGAAGCCTCTGAAGGACAAAGTAACGTTTGAACTATTTCCTTTCTTCAATTATCTTCTCTACCGTTTTCTCCTGAACAGTTTTTTTTTATACAGTACAAGTCACCTCTCACGGTTTTGCTGTTTCACGATGGACAGTCGGTGACAAACATTCAGCTATGTACATACTATATAAGGTACTGTAGACGTGCAACTCCGCGCATAGTCGAGGATTTGCTTGGGGAAAAAATAAAAACGTTTGTATCAATAATATTGGCGGATTGCGAACTTGGCGCTACATGGGGGGAGGGGGATCTCCTCTGGGTTTTTGCCATTTTGTATTATCGTGGAGTGAGTCTCTTCTGCCAAACCCTGCGCAAAGGAGTAAACCAAAAAGGCCAAATCGTCTGCGCTGTCGTCAAGGGCAGAGCTGGATACACTTCGACGAGTAAAATTTAAATGTCCATTGATCCGACCCGATCCATGGAATAAGTCACGAGCTGCAGGAAGATAAAAGTGAAATATCGGAAAGGAGCAGGCTCGCCATCTGGCAGTGACTCGTACAAAGCAAGGTTCCCACAACTGAAGCGAGATAACGCTAATATTGCCGCCGTGGCTTCTCGAGGTTTGTCTGGTGTTGGTACTCGAAAAATAATCCCTATGAGTTCATGGGGGAAGCAAAATGTGTTCAACTCACTGTTCCATCGGAATCAGCCACGAGTCGAACCATCCAAAATGCGAGTAAAAAAAAAAAAAATATTGGCACGGCATGGAAAGTACTCGGGAACCCATTCTTATGATATGAAGAAGCCCACCGGCGACTCAAGCACCATCTTCCATCGTTTCTGGGAATCTTGCTCGAGTTGCGCAAAAAACTCGTCCTGTTTCAAAGAACCTTCTGCATAAATGCTGGACTTGTCTTTTTCATATCCCAGAGAATTGCAACATTCCTGGAAGTGTTTAGTTTGTTTTGGATACTAAGGAGCAGTCGTTTGGTCGTTCAAACTTCAGTCAGAATATTCACGGACACGTAAAGTCTTAAAAGCCGTGCAAAAGCCTCGTGAATCGAAGCAGAATTAGTTTTCGTATTTTTTTTTGCGCGAAATGCGAAACTGGAGACTGTTATGAAACCGTTTTCGGTTTTGCATTTTTTTCCTCCAGATTTTTTTCCTCCTCAATTTCGTTCTTAATGAACTCATTTCGATTTGGCGACATTTCCGGGACTCCAAGGTGAAAATCGGCATCGAATGTCGATGCGACGAGTCGAACTCGTTCAAGAACTAACGACATTAACATATTTTAATTGTCCAGACCTCTCTCGTGATGTCATGGAAGTTGTTGAAAAGATCGAAGCAATTTGTTGTTTTACTGGTGGCGAGAATGTTGTTTTTATGCTCAACGATCAAGAGCAAGAAAGTAATGATTTGCTGAATATTAAATTTTTTTTTATTCTGCTGTAAATATTGATAAATGTTAAGTCATATAAAATGATTTTCCGCCAAAAAGCAAATAATGCTGAATTATTTTGCTGAGTCCCACGAACCCGGCCAAAAAGCAACATTTTCCCCAATTCCCGTTGGCGCCTCGATGCAAAAGGTTTCGCATCGAATCCGCGGAGTGCGAAACCCGAAGGAAACGTCCAGTCGCCATCTCTAGTTTGCCGAACACCGACAGATCAACAAAATTTATTTACAGACATGTAAGACACATTTTTTTCGACGCATGCACCTCTCTTCCCTGCGATTCCCCATTTTGATTCTTCATCTCCCTGCAACTCCTACTGACCCACACCCACCCCCTGACCCACACCCACCCCCCGCGCCACACCCACCCCCTGGGCCGCATCCACCCCCTGGGCCACATCCACCCCCTGGGCCATATACGTTGCATACAGCGCGAGGGTCCCCACCGCCAGCGTCGTCATGTGCGCCGAGCACTCCCCGTCCAGCGAGTACGAGTCTCGTCTCAGTTGAATCCTCGAGGTCAGGCTTCTGCTATCCGTCCGCCTGGAAATGACAATTTCATATGAACAAACGTGAGGAAGAATGAAAATATCCATTTAAATAGAGAATACGATTTTTGGCTTTTTTCAATAGTTAGTGAAACTATATATAACAATAATAATAATAATAATAAATTAAAATTGATAAAATATGAAAATTCACTTCGTCGGATAAATTTTGCAAAATTCTCGGAGGTCATGAGGAATTTGGCGCCGAAATTTGGCGAAGTGGCAGGTAACCGGGCAAAGACGTCCACCCCCCCCCCCCCCCCCAGGGGGGGGGGGGGGGGGGTGGAGGGGGCCGGTCACGCGAGGCTTTCGCGAGTCGTCAAAGCGCGGGAAAGCGTCGGGATCGAGGTTGGATAATCTGCGGTCGTTTCCCTATCTCGTCTCTTCGAGTGGTTGCCTTGATTCTTGGTCGCGTTCATTTGATTGATGGCCACGCGACGGGGTGCGGCGAGGTCCATCTTGGTATTTGCATGCGAAGGTCCATTCATTTTTTTTAATGAGGGGCGAATGGAGTGCGATACCCCGGTTACACGGCCGGTTCCGTGTTTTTCGACGCTTCATTAGGAAAAGCGACTCGGCAGATTATCGTGCATTTAAATGTTCGCTCGGCTCAAAATCCGGTCGTCGGATCGTTGTCGTCGTCATCGAAGTTCGGTCGTAATCGACATGCTGGGAAAAAGTAGAAGTCCAGACCGAATCGAGATGGCCTATCGAGTCATGACGGGAAATTAGCACTCGTTCCACTTCGCAGTTGGCCATCGCATGCTTGTCGCGGAGATCGCCGTTACCTTTCGTGGTCGACGGTGGCGATGAGGTTACCTTTTGCCGATGTCATCGGTGACCGAAATTTAAAAAATTGTATTCTGTAATTTCGCGGAGGTTCGATCTCTTCCCGCAATTTGCCGTCTCTCCGTCGATTCGCGATCGAGGTTGCCACACTTTCCATACACAAAAGGGTTGTGCCAAAATTACCAAGGAAAATACCTCTGAGGTAGGAGTTTATTTGAACGGTCCCAATCGCGTCGGAGCGTTCACGTCGAGCGACGAGACCGCCTCGAAATGAATCGAATTCGCGGTCGAACGTGCACGACGAGCGTCAGAAACATCGGCGGAGATTCCCACGGCGGGACGAGGTTAGTGTCGGGATTCGGGATGAAACGGGAATGAGCGGGATGAAACGGGATGAAACGGGATGAAACGGGATCACGCCGATGACCCTTTCCCCCTTCCGATCTTGGAGCTCGAGGCGAGTGGGTGGAGCCTCCATCCGAATTTCACGCTTCGCGCTGAGACCTCCCAGTGGTTCTCAACCTCCCTCTTTCTCCCGTGGAGCATCCGTGGGTTCGCCGGGCCGAGAACGGCTGGGGAACCAGAAGCGACTGCTCGAACGAGCCGGGCGCCCTTACGAAACGCCCATCTCTCGTGTGGATTTGGAACCAGGTGGATGTCCCCTTGGCGGTATTTCCACCTGTTGGAGCGATGTCCACCCGGTTCCAAATCCACCCCCTATCCACCTGGTTGTTTGACCAGGTGGACAGAGGGTGGACGTTTTGTCAGGGAAGCCAATAATTACAGAATGAACATGGGAAGATCTCATTTTGTCACTTGGTTTGTCGGAGAGAAAGTTGAACAATTTTGTAGATTTTTTAAAAATTGAATCTCATGAAATCAAATTTTAAATTTAGAGGAGCCGGACAAAAAATTAAATTTGTCTAAATTCAAATCCATCGCGAACTGGGGACAATTTCGCCCCTAAACAGGACTCCGAGCAGTACTCGCGCAGTCCTTTATTTAGTCCGTGAGCCTTTATTTATTTTGCGACCTTGAAAACGGCGAGTAGCAGCCGGATTGAGTCTGCCAGCTCAAGATTGTGTCCAGCCACTCCGTCTTGATGAAGTCCTCGAAGCCGAAGAGCAATCCCACGACCTCTGAAAGAGCGATAAAAAAATTTAATATATTGTTACCCTCTGTTTCCGGTACTCATTAAATAAAAATCGACCTTGCTCCAAGAACAGATCCCGGCGGTTCCGCGCGAATCCGGAATCCGCGATGTCCTGCGCCTCGCGCAACACGCGGCGCAGAAATGCTTCCGTCAGGCGAGAAATCGGGAGACCGTGGAGTTTCCACGATTTTGAGTCCAACTGCTCCAAACAGCCCATCTGGGAAAAAAAATTTTTTTGTCAGTTTTAACTGTAATTACAATTTGTTCGAGGTACTGGCAAAAAAAGTGGGACCTCGAGCATCCCCTTTGGCACATCCAAAAATTTATAAAAATTTATTTTCACCCCCCCTCCCCCCCCAAAATTTCGATGTTTCCACCTTCGAATTTCCAGGAAATCCGGAAATTCAAGAATTCATTGTAGGCATTCGTTTAACGAACGCTTAATGACAAAATCACAGATAAAATATTAATCTGCTTAATGATTCGAAAACCATTGTAGAGAGTTTTTTTTTTCTCCCTCCTGCTTACTTTCCTCATCCCATTATCTCTCATTCCCTGGAAGAAAAGAGGGAAAGAGAAAAGTTTTATCGGTAACTTTCATCGCCGGGTTTCTCTCGGATGAATGAGTCCTTATTAACTGGGGGGGGCGGGGGGGGGGGGGGGGGGGGGGGANNNNGGGGGTGGGGGGGGGGGGGGGGGGGGGGGGGGGGGGGGGGGGAAGCAAGCGCATATCGCATGCAGTTGGGAGATCTGCCAGGACCAGCTTCTGCGTTCACAGGGCATGAAATGACACGACATGACAGTGCCAGGTCCTCATTTTTTGCTCATGCGTGAATGTCATTTTTTTTTGCAGGCGTCCATTTGAAAATTTGAAAATCACTGAGCTAAACTAATTGGAATATTTTAAAAATTATTTTTCCCTTGGACTAGACCAAATTCCTCGATTACCTGATTTTTTTTTCTCATTATTTTCCGAAAAATCATGCATTTTGTTCTTTTGAAGATGCTCTTTTCGAGTATCAAGTCATCGTTTTTAGAAATTCCCGACTTGAACTTACAAAAATCTATAACGAGATTCTTCAAATTTGATTCGAGAAGAATTTGAGTCATCAGCATGTCGCCCAATTGCTTTTAATTACAATTCAATTACGGCGACTCGTGAAGTTCAAGTCTCTTTTATTGGCATTCGCGATGTTTTTTGTGGTTTCGAATTATTTTTCTTGCCAAAATTTGAACCAAGCCGATAGATATTTGCAAATCTGCGATGTGATTTCATTTTCAACAGCTATCAACGCTCAGTGTCTTCATAAGACATTGAGCGATAATGGATATCCGACTTGTATGCTAAGCAAAAACTTAAAGCCCACTACTTACTTATCTCAAATAAATACGGAAAAGTGGGTGAGAACGATATTTTCTTCTCTTTCCTTAAAAATGAGACCTTCCCTGGACAGATTCCAAAGCCATGATCTCTAAGCCATAGGTCCAGGACAGACTACAGGCAGTGGGCCAAAGGGCCGAATTGTCCCTCTTCTCCGTAATAACTCCCCTCTTTTATCTCCATTTCTAGGTCTTTATTCGTAGGGCACAGTTATGTTTCGGGCTCAGAGTTTTCTCTCTCTGATGCATACTCGGGCTCGGATTGCTGCAAATATATTGCGTATCCCGGTTAATGATCCCAGTGTATTGGCTCCTCTCTTTGCCAATCTCTCTTTGATTGAGAGCCTCGAGAAGTAGTTGTACCCTTCGGGCACGAATCTCCACACCAGGGGAAACCTCTTACTGCCAAACGGTAGTCTTGCAGATAGTGACTCGGGCATCGTCACGTCCACACGCACAGAACGCTTTGCACTTGGTTCCTCCGGGATTCAGTGAACCCTGCCCAGCTAATGGGCGGTGCGTGCAGGACGGACTTAAGCCGTGGAAGCTTTCTGTAACGTCTGTTGCGGTGATTATTCCCTGGTGTGGAAATGTCGAAAAGGGTTTTGCTACACTGCAAGTCGTTTGCTACGCTCGTGCCCCTACGACTTGCCAGACCATGAGCCTTCCTTAGCTGTCATTCGCTTTTTAACTTCTCTTCTTGCAATAGTTTGGCCTCGTGCTGACCGTTAGTCTGTTTTGATCGGCATGAATATTCTAGGGGTGATTTTTTATTCATGGGACCATTATAAATATTTATCGTCTTGGAACAAATAGAGTTACATGCCTGAAATTTCGCATCAAGAATCCGTAAACATGGGAAAGTTATACTCTATGGAAAAATATGTTCAACGTGTGTTCAATATTGTTCAATACTCTGTGCGCAAATACACGTCGTAAGGGTGAGGTGTAATTCTGCAGAGAATGCAGGAAAATGGAATAACTTCATGTTCTGTGGTCGCCTTCTGGTCTCTAAACGTGCATGGATTTAACCTTGACTCAAAACTTTGTCTTTTAGGTATAAAAATAACGATGAATAAAAAATCAAATTTTCAAATAGTCCAATTTCAGGACGGCATGTTGGATTGGGGGCAGAAATCAATTCTAACCTTAACCGAGCCGGTTATGGCCCGAATACAGCCGTGTCAAGGGCAGAACCTCGCAGAATCCTAATTAATTTGTCAAGTTAGTTTTGACGCTTCGACTCGTATGGTCTACCGTGACCCCGCCTCGAGCAAATATGTTGGCACGTGTGAGCTTCGGACCGTGCTTCAAATGTGTTTCACACGTTTTTCACATCTGCTCCTCACCTGAATCCCTGGGGAATCCAAGCTCGAACTTCGAAACAGCTGTGGATTATAATTACGCGTTAATCGCGCTTAACTCGCATTTAATTCCTCTTCATCATATGAAATCCATGCCAGATCTCATCGTGAATTTTCAGCGGGCGATGCCGCTCCGCCATTTAAATCGGACGAAAGCCCGGCGAAAGCGAAAGCAGTCTGCCCGGATGGCGAGCACGACAGCCGACTGTCGTGCCAGGATGTCGTGCCAGTCGCCAGTCGACAGGAAGACGACCCTGCAGGTTGTTCATCCGTAATTCTTGCCTGTAATCAACGCCGACACTCCACTGAATCGAATGGATTATCCGATTATCCGCTTCCCTTTGAATCCTCGAGACCGAGATGCACCGCATCTGCATATTTAATTTTACCTTGTACCACATTTAAATATTTTCTAGCACAAGCTACCTGCTTCCTCGATAAAAAATCCCCACAAATAATTTAATCCGAGCCGAGTCTTCAATCTCTCCACACGAGTTCCCGTCTCAAACGAAATTAGACTCAATTGATAACTGATAATTGACATGATAATTGATAACTGATAATTGACATGATAATTGATAACTGATAATTGACATGATAATTGATAACTGATAATTGACATGATAATTGATAACTGATAATTGACATGATAATTGATAACAATGAATCTGAGCGAAAAGGTTCGGGTGGATGACCCAAAAGTTTGGGATGCTTCGTGAATTACTGTATCTCAGTACTGCACAAAATGTCAGTACTGCACCTGATTTCAGTACTGCATCTCTCGGCGCGGCCGAATGTTTTGCTCTTTAAAATCCGAATCGTCATCTAATTCAGAAATGAGACTGGGTGATGAAATATTACAAATCTCGTAATAAAACTTCCTGAAATTCGTTTGACCATATGAATCGCAAATCGTGGGATCTTGGATGAAGGATTTGGATGTGGAAGGATGTCGAGCCTCACCCTGGCCCCGATGAAGACGAAGAGAAGCTGGTGAGTGAGGGAATACCCGGACTGGGAGGCGCGGCCGAGCATGAGTCCCGCGCAGGGGGGGGAGATGTGGCACGAGGGCTGGTCCTCCCGGGAGGGCTGGTCCTCCCAGGTGCCCATGAGGTCGGCCATGCATCGGTCGGACTGGGTCTCCTGCATCGCGTCTCTGAAGCGGGTCTGGCGGGCGGGGTCCGGATGGGTCCGGCGTTCGGGGCCCAGCCGGGTCCAGTCTGGGGTGAGTCCGTACAGGGCTGGGTCCAGCGTCGGCTTCATCACTGAGTCGGGAAAATAGGTACGATAATAAAATATGGGGAAGAGACTAAAATACCGATGTAAATAAAAGCAAATGATTAAGGGAACTTACGCAAAAAATACTTGGGATCGTCGCGTGTGACGAATTTCTCAATCGACTCGGCGACGCCTTGCGCCTTTTTGGCCAGGAATTTCAATTTGTGGACGATGTTCCCGCCGTTCTCTCCCTTCCAGGTATTAACCGTGTGGTTTAGAAGGCCTGGTGATTCGAAGACCGGAGGGTAAATCATTTGAATTCGACACCGGCCTCGTTTGAACTTTCCCCCTTTCGACGCGGAAAAAGGGTCTCGGAAATGATCACTTTGCAATTCAAACCGACGAGAGGAACTGGATCGGTTTAACCCTAAACTAATCTGACTCCGTAATTAGTACCTAATTAATTCAGACGAGGCGGATCCCGTCGAGACCCGCGACGAAACCGGATTATGTTGCGTCAAGTGGATTCGGCACATGTTACCTCGGAACAAAATATATACTGTATAGGATAAAGGGTCCGTTCACAAATTACGTAATGCATGAATGGTTGCACGAATGTCACGTAACAGGTTTTCTTCATTAAAAAAATTATACGACTGGAATTTCTTATTAGAAGGTTAATTGTTAAGTAAGAAAGTAAACAGGCTCAGTTATACCTTGGGCGTTGCCCTTTAAATTTCCCCTCCTTTTACTCTTTTTTTTACATCTCGAATGGGGGATCACCATCAATCAAAATGAACATACACAAAGGAAAATTATTTCCTTGAAGAAGGAACCGAATGAAAGAAAAAACTTTCCTTTTTTAAATTTTTAATCATCTGTAAATGTGTGTAATCCAGAGTGTTAGTTATGAGTGCTTAATAAACGAGTTTATTTTTCAAATGCATTTTACTTGTTTATTTATCTCATAAAAAAGTTATGAAGGACGGAGGAAAGGTCATATTTTGTCATGTAATTTTTTTATTTTTTTATTTACAATAAGTAGATATTGTTGTGTTCATGGTCACTGAGACGAAAATGAAGACCGCGAGACTTTGATCTGATCGCTCAAAAAAAAAATTATGAATTAATTCAGACTAAAAGTTTCTCTTGTGTCGGCGAAACCCTTTCCTTTCCGGTGATCTCGGGCCTCCTCCTCGTAAATAATTATTGGTAAGTTATTAGTAGACAGCCTATTCGCTCCTCAATTATCGAGAAGTTTATTTGCCAGCCTCACGTTTGAAATGTTTCTAATTTTGAAAGGCTTCGCTGGTAGGGACTGAATCATTCAATGGAAGACTTTGGCCAACTTTGGCCAACTTTGGCCAACTTTGACTCTTCCTCTGCGGACGGCACAGGCAAATGAATCACCTAAAGCACCACTGGTTTCGGTAGATGAGGTACTTACGGTACCCGAAATCTTTGGGCAATTGACGGACTACCGTCGCGTATCCCGCTTGGTGCGTTATGCAAATCATCTGGGTTTTTAAATTCTTTTTTTAAAGTTCTTTTTAGGGATGTTGGAAAATATGGGGGGAAAATTAATCGATTTTAAAACGTTTTCTTAGGCTCTGGGCCTTATTTCCCACAAGCATGAAAATGCTAGACTCATGAGTCTAGGTTGTGAATACTTTAAAAAGCCCCCAAAAAAAGCAATCATCTGCGGATTGTTTTTTTTTTCTATTTGCGAGCACCAATTGATGTGTTTGCAGTAATTTCTCCGTACGTTTTCCCCTTCGTGAGGTGGATTCATAGGTGAAGAAAAAGTAAAGAAAAACATCTGAGCGAATAAGGGACTCGTAAAAAGAATTAAATGAAATGAATCCTATGAATAGTTTTAAAATTCTATGAACACTTTGTGCACTTTGAAAATGCATGCCTCCAACCTGAAGAAAGTCTTCCACTAGCTGGAGGATGGATTCTTCTTCGTGGACACCGCTTACAGTTTACAAATGTAAAAAAAAAAAAAAACCTTGGATCCGAGGACCAGGTTTGTAGACTTTCGTCGCTTTAGAGGATTTTTTTTTACGCATATGTGGATAGAAATATGAATTTGGAACTTCTGGCAACACTTCTGAACATCGTGCTCGAGGCCCACATCGATTCTTGGGCAACAATCGACTTTGGAAAGGGTTCGCATCCGTTAAAAAGTGTCGTTGGACATTTAGGGATTAATTCGGGGGTGCAACATCTAAAACGAAGCGAAAATGTCTAAGTCGACTCATGCTAATATGCATACGTGATTTATACGAGGTGGCCGACTGGCATGCCCATAACATGGAGCAGTCAAGAGTAGGAATTTCCAGAGTGTTTTTTTTTTCGATGGCAGAAAACGCGAAATCGTCCGCAAATAGGCGTCCGTTCACAGCCTTTACCTATCTAATATATATAGACGATCGTGACTGACT